TGCCTGTGGTATATCTTGAATTTAGGATCTTCTGACTCAGAGGTGACATTGTCACTAAGCTGGCAGTTTGCTGCCATTCAACATCCAAACAATCTGGCCCAGCACCCAATGAAATATCATCTCAGCATCATCTGTGCTGCTCTTTAATTGGGATTCTTCTCTTCGTGGGATTATGCCATACAACAATCATCATTCCCACACATCTCTCAGCTGATGAACTCCTCCAGGTTGAATGCCACTTGGCGGAAGCACTGAGGGAGGCAAGGACACAGACTGTACTCTGGGTCAGGTACTTCAATGTCCATCACAGAGTGGTTCAACAGCACTACAACTGACTAAGCTTGCCAAATTTTAAAGGACATAGCTGTTTGATGGGGTTTATGGTGGATAGAGAGGGAACCCACAAGAGAGGAAAAAAATTTTTTTACATCATTTTCGCCATTTTTTGAAAAAATATGCAGTACTTTATTCATAACAAACGTAGAAGTACATTCCAAATTGGACATTACTGAAAACACAATAAAATACAACTTTTCTCCCTTGAGCACTCTTAGGTGCCTCAACCCATGACACTTACCATACACATTCAGTGACAAGCATACAGCCCCAGTGGATCTATATGTTACCAGCCTCACGGTACAGTCTTTTTTCTGAAAGTCCCTGGACAGTGGTCTTTTCCCACTGCACATTTGCAATGGCTACCTCAAACTTCAGTGAGTCCCTCAACACTCAGACCTGAACTTTGGAATGTGCCAGTCCCAAACAGTTGATCAAGGACAACTTCTTGCACTGGAAGACCAGCAAGTTTCAGATTGACAAAAGAGTGTCTTTCACCAAGCTGATGTCTTCCAGATGCAGCTGATACTTGTTTCCGTGCATGTCCCAGCAGCCTGTAGAGCAGCACAGCGTCCCATGTCATAGAGCTGCTGGGAATGTGCCTCCACAAAAACAAATGTGTGTCTCTCCAAATTTTCCTTGTAAAGTCACATTCCAGCTGAAGGTGTGTAACGGTCTCTTCACCACTGTGCAGGCCTTGAATGCAGCACCGAGATATCGGGCAGGCACAAATGATCTGATGGGGACTGCCCTTCCACCAGAAAGTTCATGTTTTATAATTAGTTTTTCTTATTTATGATGAAACAATCATAGTCCATTAAGCGGTTAGCCTACTCTTAAAATTATTTTGTTTAATTACAATTAATATTAGAGCCTTGTGCACCATGTGACAAACTGTTCTGAGGAGGGGTCACTCAGCCCGAAATGTTAACTCCGATTTCTCTCCACAGATGCTGTCAGACCTGCTGAGCTTTTCCAGCAATTTCTATTTTTGCTACTTGAAAGTTTCACTTCATTCTATATGTGGGGTGGACAAAGTCAGAAGTCACATGTAACTAGGTTATAGTCCAACAGGTTTATTTGAAATCACAAGCTTTTGGTGCGCTACTCCTTTTCAGATGATTATGACTGTCACCAGCCAGAGATTGCTCACACATCCCTTAAACAATTAGAAATTAGCCTTGCCTCACTTAAACTGATCAGAGTACATTAACTCTATTGATCACATTATGGGTATGGCTGGGCAAGAGTTCATAGCACAAGTTTTCCAAGACCAAAGCGCACATCAAGTTTGAATCTGAGGGTCAAAGCCTGCTGTTTGGCTAAAAGCAGAAGACCACAGAAATGCAAACGACAGGGAACGAATGGAGACAAGGTATTGACTGCTGCCTTATATAGGTCAAGAACTGTGTTGGGTCTGTAAAGTTGCTGTCTGGCTCTTTCAAGTATTGCTTTTGTTACTGCATAAATAGTCATGGAGTTGAATCACCAAATATCTGGTGTTGTCGGAATAGTTCAAGTTTCACATTAACAAATAAGCATTCAATGAGTGTAGACTCATGATCTTAGGTTTTATAATGAAAGGTAATACTTCTTACCAGCAGCCAAGTGCTTGGTGCTTATTTGAAAGTTCTGGCAATGAGGCATTCTGCTAAATGGTTTTGACAGTCTGCTCATGGAGCCATCCAATAGGATCAACCATCTCCAAATATACAGGGCACAGAGGAAGTTACATGTCTAAAACTACCTGATAAACTCTGATCAAAGGTTTTTTTGTACAAGACTGTAAGACTGTAAAACCACAAGGTGTAAGAGCGGAAGCATACCATTCAGCCTATCGAGTCTGTTCTGCTATTCATTGAGATCATGGCTGATCTGATAATGCTCAATTTAATTTTCCTTCCTTCTCCCCATAACTCTAGATTCCCTTATTGATTAAAAACTTGTCTGTCTTGGCCTTGAAGATACTTAACAACCCAGTCTCTGTAGCAGTTTGTGGTAAAGAATTCCACAAATTCACTAGTATCTAAGAGAAAAAAATTCCTCAAGGTCTAGACTCTACCACAAGGGGAAACAACCTCTCAGCATCTGCCCTGTCATGGCCAAGAATCTTATATATCTCAATAAGGTCTTCTTTCATTCTTAAAAACTCCCATGATTACAATGTCAACCTAATGAACCTCTCCTCATAAGAAACTCCCTCCATACCTGGAATCAATCTAGTAATCCTTCTCTGGACTGCCTCCAAGACATAAATATTTTTCCTTAGATAAGGGGACCAAAACTGCTCACAGTATTCCAAACATTTCTACGAGGAATAGATGATGTGATACAGTCTATTAATTTGGAGTGTTTTGCGGCAATCTGGCTAGACCCAATCTTCTTAACACTGAACAGGTAGAACGTCAGCATGTAGAGATGCTTGGACTTTGTCCTCACCAATCTACCTGTTGCACATGAAACGTCTAGGACATTACTGGTGGGGGGAACTATTCTTGTGGAGGCAAAGTCCCATCTTTACACTGAGAATATCTTTCATCATGTGCAAAAGACAAGGTTAAAGTATTTGCCCAAGGATCTGTGTGGATGATCCATTTTGCTTCCTTCCAAAGTTCCCATCATCATAGATGTCAGTGGTTGGTTTGATTCACTCCACATAATAAGCAAGAAAGGGCTGAAAGGACTTGATACAGCAATGGCTATAGGGTTTGATAACATCCTGGCTGTAATTTTGAAAATTTGCACTCTAGGTATGAAGGCAGCCTTTGACTTGAATGTGTCATTAAGGACTCATGGTTAAATTGAAGTCAATGGGGATTATGGGAAAACTCACCACTGGTGGCAATCATATTTACCAAAATGGAAGGCGGTTGTTGTTGTTGGAGCAACATTGCTAGAGAAGTGTAATGCCTGAGTGATCTAGACCCAACCATCTTCAATGGCTTTATCAAAGACCTTTTGCCCAACAGAAGTGGGGACAGTCACTGATGATTACAAATCGTCAGCACCATTCACAACTCCTCAAATTCTAGGCCTGTCTGTGCAGCAGTCTTGGATAATATTCAGACTTAGTCTGATTAGCAATTTATATGCAATCCATGTGCTAGGCAGTTAGTATTTCTGACAAGAGAGAATCTAACCATATCTCCCATAACTGAATCGCATTACCATCACAGATATCCTACCAGCAACATCAGAGGGCTCACCATAGACCAGAAACCTAACTGGAACAGTCAGACAAATAAGGAATACACATGCAGATCAAAGTGAGCAACTCATTTCTTAACTTCTACCACTCACAAGTTGGGGGTATGATGCGATACTCCCTATTTGCCCGGAAAAGTGCAGCTCCAACAACATTTGATGAAGCTCAGCACCATCCAAGATAAAACAACCTATGAAAACAAAGTTGCTAGAAAAGCTCAGCAGGTCTGGCAGCATCTGTGGAGGAAAAAACAGAGTTAACTTTTCAGGTCCGGTGACCCTTCCTCAGAACTGATGATGGCTGGGAAAACGTCAGTTTATATGCAGAAAATAGGGAGGTGGGTGGGGTAGGGAGTAAATGATAGGATACAGCCCGAAGAGAGAGAAAGACAGTTGGACAAAGGAGTTGCTAACGATCAGGCTGGGAGGGTGAATAGTTGTTAATGGGGACTGTTAGTGACTAACAACAGGGGGTGTGATTTACAACATCCGCAGTTCTTTTGGTTTTTAAAACAACCTACAATTGGCACATCATAAAAACCCAATTCATTCCATCCACCACTGACGCTCAGCATCAGCAGCAAATTGTACCATCTGTAAGATGTACTGCAGTAAATCACCAAGGCTCTTTCCACAGCACATTTAAACTCATGCCCTCTACCGTTTACGAAGGGCAAAGGCAACAGGTATGTGGGAATAACACTACCCACAAGTTCTTCTCCAAGCCACCTACAATCTTGATTTGGAAATGTATCGCTGTTACTTTTCACTGTGACTGGGTCAAAACCCTAGAACTGCCTCCCTGATGGTATTGTGGGTGCACCATTGACAAATGGGCAGCAGAGTTCAACAAGGCAGTTTGTTCATCACCTTCCAAATCACAACTAAGGGGCAGGCAATAAATATCATTCCAGATGTCCTGGTCTGGGTAAACGTGGCCAAGAAGCCATGGGGTAGCCAGCTGGTTGATGTATATAGGGCTGCCGTCCTTGCTCAGTGCTGAGGCTATAGGTGACTCCAGGCTCACAGCTGAGAAGATTCTCGGCGAAGGGGACGGCAGCATCACCATGGTAACCGGGGATTGGCAAACGCCACCCGTGCCAGCAATATACACACACACACACCATGAGACTAAAGTAACATTAATGATGTCTCAAAATTCAACGGCCCCAGTCAGTTTACAAGACGCTGCTGCATGAATCAGAATTAAATCGCAGTTTAATCGATACTCACTTCAGCCGCAGCCTGAGGTAGGCCCAAGTCACGTGACTACGGCGCCTGCCCCACTCAAGAGAAAACGCAACGGCGCAGATTTTATTTTTAATCTCTCTCTCTGTCTCCAAGTTATTTATCGCCCTCGGAGAGAGCAGTGTAGTTATTTTAATTTATCGGATTTTAGTTTTGATCTCTGGCCCCTCACCCCGCTCCCAGGTGGGCAGGATGCGGCTTTCTGATTGGTTACTGCGTCTGACCCCTGACCCCTGACCCCAGGGTTGGAGATGCTGGTGACCGGATTGTGCGGCCGCTTCGGCCTCAGGGCGACCCGGGCCCGGGCCTGGGCCTGGAGCTGGGTTTGGGACGGAGGCCGGGCTAACGCGGTGAGGAGAAAGACAGGCTTTTTTGTAAACCCCACTGGCGGCGGGAGGGAGTAAAGAAGGTGTATTTCTATAGCGCCCATCATCCGGCTATTCCCCAGACGAAATACTTTCCGATTGTTGTTGGAGGAGGAAACCAGGGTGACCCGTTTCTGCACAGCAAGATTTCGCGAAAGGCCTTAACGATAAGTCGGGTCCTAGAACACGGTTGGAATGCGAGGCGCTAAGAGCTGGGTTAGAGTGGAGGGGAAAGGGGTTGAAGGACAGCAAAGGATAAGAGTTGAGATAAAGTATATAAGGCAGATTGTAAGGTCTTTTGTCTCACAGTGATACCGATCTTGCCTCTGGGATGTAAGGTTCAAGTCTCACCTGTGGCAGAGGTGTCTCACCAGATGCCCATCCAGGTTAATTAAAAATAACTACGACACATTGCCTGGAAACCCAGTGCTTTAGATTCCGGGTACATGGTTACATAATCTTAAATAATCTCTGGTTCCTAATATTGGATAGGATTTCAAAGGATATCTGTGCATTTCCCGTCTGAAACCTCACTGCCTGAGGTTCTACTCACTTACAATACTTCCAGGATGATAAGTATAATAGGATTACATATATTAAAATTCAATATATTCAATACATATATTGAAATTATAATAACTATAACGAAACTATAGTGGATCAGGAGAAGCTGTTTTCATTGATAGGTTGATTAGTGACCAGAGCTCCCAGATTTAAGATGATTGATAGAACAGCGAAAGAATTATGTAATAAACATAAAGTACTGTGAATGCTGTAAATTTAAAATTAGATCAACTTGCTGGAGAAATTCTGACTTATCCACTTCTGTGGAGAAAGAAACAGCGCTAACTTTTCAAGTCCAATATGACTCCTTTGGAACTGTGGCAGTTTGGAAGATGTCACATTCAAAACATTAACTCTGTTTCTCCCTCCAGAGATGCTGTCGGACTGCTGTGTTTCTTCAGCACTTGAAATAGCGAAGTTGTGACTTGGAATATGGCACCTGAAAAGGTGTAGGAAGGAATTTTAAGAGTAGCTTTCAAAAGAGCGACAAATACTCGGGAAAATTTGCAGAGCTTTGCCAAAACAATGGGTTGGGCCATAACTCGATAGCTCATTTAAAAGTCATGCATAGGCATGCTGTAAAATTTTATGACTAAAAGTCTTCATCTGGCTCTGTAAAAGGGAGTTAGTCATGCTGTTTTATTAATTCTTCTTTTCAGCTAAGTCATTCTTGGAAACAATGGGGAGTGAGAAAGGGAATAAGTTCTGTTGTTACAAAAGTATCAGCGCAGTCCAGGACAGACCGTGTACCCAGTGTCATCACTGACCGAATCCTGGGCAAATGGATGATTGTTTGCAGTGGAATGGTTGTGGGCGCTGTGGTCCTTGGTGGAGTAACCAGGTAAGTGAAAGTCTTCTGTCAGTAAAAGCAACTGCTTCCACTACGAAGTCATGGTTATTTATTGATGGTCTGTTCATATTTCTGGCTAGGCCAATATTTGATGTTCGTGTTAATTGACTTTGCTACCTCCTGGAACCACTGCAGTCCTTGTAGAATCCCTACAGGTGGAAATGGGGCATTTGGCCCATCGAGTCCACACCAACCCTCCGAAGAGCATCCCACTCAGACGCCAGCCCCCTATTCTGTCCCTGTAACCCTGCATTTGTCACGGCTAATCCACTTAGCCTGATCGCTATGGGCAACTTAGCATGGCCAATCCACCTAACTTGCACATCTTTGGACTGTGGGAGGAAACCCACGCAGACACAAGGAGAATGTGCAAACTCTGTACAGACAGTCGCCCGAGGTTGGAATCGAACCTGGGTCCCTGGAGCTGTGAGGCAATAATGCTAACCACTGAGCCATCATGCCACCCTGAGCCATCGTGCCACCCCAAGCCATCCTTAACCTCTTGAAGAAGTAGAGATGTTGTTGTGCTTTCTTGCGGTACAATACCAGATGTAGTATTGCTGGATTTGATGGGAATAATAGGAGGAGATGTGTTGAAGATCATTGCATGACAGAATGATTTTGACTTTTTTTCCAAATCTATTTTTATTAAAGCTCACACTGGTACCATCCAAGGAGGATGAAATGATGAATATTTGCTGAGCACAGAGAGAGTACTTTAAGGGCTTTCCTTAATTTTCCACAGGCTGACCGAGTCTGGTTTATCGATGGTGGACTGGCACCTCATCAAGGAGATGAAACCCCCAAAGACTCAAGGGGAGTGGGAAGCTGAGTTTCAAAAGTACCAGCAGTTCCCAGAATTTAAAATGTAAGTAACGGTTGCAACATCTCTGACCCTCATCACGTTTGTCTGCAATGCTGCTAGATCGTCCGGCTTTAATCAGAGCCTTGGACGTGCTCTCTTTTGATATCTTGCCCCTGGCCCAGTTGCTTGTGGATCCCCTCTCATTTCCAGAGATTTGAGCACTGTGACATAATCCAGGTTGATGCCCCCAGTGCAGTACTGGGGAGGTGCAGTCTTTCAGATGAGATTCAAAACTAAGCTCAAGATTTAAAACATCTTATCACACTGTTTCAAATAATATCAGTTGTACCTGGTATCCAGGTCATTATTTATGCCTCAACCAACACTAAGGAGCATTATCACATTTCTGAGGAAGGTCGCTGTATGTGAAATGTTAAGTCTGATTTCTCTTCACAGGTGCTGCCAGACCTCCTGAAGTTTTCCAGCAGCCTCTGTTTTTGTTTCTGATTTACAGCATCTGTGGTTCTTTCAGTTTTTATTATCACATTTCTGTAGGTCATAGTTGACTATAAATTGGCTACCGAGTTTCCTGCTTTGCAACTGTGACTGCACTTCAAAAGAACCTCATTGGCTGCAGAGTGCTTTGAGAGATCCTGAGGATGAGAATGGCACTACAGAAATGAAAGCCTTGTTTTTTTTAAAAACCAGTGTGATTTTTTTTTTAGCTTCCTACTGTAGTTATACCTGTAGCTTTTGGGCACTTCTTGTTGCCATGACATTTTCATCTGCTCAGACTTCGATTGAGATAATAAGATCTGATTTCGCATCTAGTTCCTTGACCCTTCCCTTTTGTTTATTTATAACAGTTGAGGATAGTAAGGTGGGGTGGTTGGTTTGATGTTCTTTTGGTCTGAATTAGTAGCTACTTTTACTCTAGCAGTGGTAAGAACTAGTCTGTGACTCCTCTGCATCAATTGCTTCGGTGTTCCTTCCTTCAGATTAAATCATGACATGACTTTAAACGAGTTCAAGTTCATCTGGTACATGGAATATTCCCACCGGATGTGGGGCCGTGCAGTGGGACTGGCCTATATACTGCCTGCCATTTACTTTTGGAGGAAGGGCTGGTTCTCCAGGAGCTTGAAGCTGCGGGTGGCAGGCCTTTGTGGATTTGTGTGCTTTCAGGTGGGTGAAATGCTGGTGACCACCTACCATCTCGTGAGATTGAAAATGAGAGCCTGGTAAATCTGAAAATGACATAGATTAATACTGAGAATGGTGGAAATAATTGGTGGGTAAGGCAGGATCTGTGGGGAGAGAAGGAGAGTTGATGTTTCAGGTCAGTCACCTTTGGTTTGAACTGCGACAGATCGTCGGCCTGAAATGTTAATTCTGTTTCTTTTTCAGCACCCGCCGACTTCAGAATTGAAGAAGAGTTATACCGGACTTATTAACTCTGTCTCTCTCTCCATAGATCCTGCCAGATTTGCTAAGTTTCTCCAAGAAATAATTGGAACTTGTCAAAAGGGTATAGCAATTATCATAGGGGGTCCTGCATGTATGTTGGAAAAATCAAATTGGACAAAGCAGTCTAGATGAGGAATTCATTGAATGTTTGGGCAATTTCCGTCTCGTTTTCTGGGTGACCTGTTGTGCATTACCATTCTAATCCTAAGAAAGATGTTTTCACTTTCACAGTTCTGATCTGTCCAGGGTTTTAGCACCTTGCCTTGTTGTTCCTCCTCAGGGTTTGCTAGGTTGGTACATGGTGAAGAGTGGTTTGGAGGAGAAGAAGGATTCACATGACATTCCCCGGGTCAGCCAGTATCGCCTGGCTGCTCATCTTGGATCTGCACTGTTACTCTACTGTGCCAGCCTGTGGACTGGTCTGTCCCTGCTCCTACCCCCGAACCAGGTAATCCTCCTCCAGCAAAACCACTGTCTCTGTTCTTTCAAAGTTATAGCTTTTAAATAAAGTGCAGTTAAGGATGATGTTTTTATATTTTAAAGCAGGTGAGGCAAGAATATTCCCTTAAGTTCATTCTGTAGATGTCGGTGCCATTGACATTTATTGTTTATCCATAAGTGTTCTAGAAAAAATGGTAGTTTCCTGTCACTTTGAACTGTTGTGGTTGTGCTTTTAGGGAGGCAGTTCCCAATATATTGACTCCATGGCAGTGAAGGAACAGCTAGGGCATTTCTAGGTTGGATGGTCAGTGTAGACTTGAAGAGGAGTTTCCAGATGATGGTATTCCCATACTCCCCTTGTCTTTTCAGTAATTTGTGAAGATGCTGTCGAAGGAGTGAGTTGCTGCAGCATATCTTGTAGATGGTGCAGTGTTCCTGCTGTACTTCAATAGTGGAGAGAGTGAATGTTGACTGTAGTGGATGGGGTATCAGTCAAGTAGGCTGTTCTATCCTGGGTAGTGTCATGCTTCAGTGATACTGGAGCTGCACAGGCAAATGGGGAGAGCATTCCATCACACTCCTGAGTTGTGCCTTTGTGGATGGTGGATAGGGTTTGGAGAATCAGGAAGTGTTGGTCATTGCTATCTTTCCAGGCTCTTAACTGCTTTTGTAGTCACAGTATGCATGTAACTGATTTGCAGAATTATAGTGTAAATAGCACTGGTATTTCAATGTGTAGGTGCAGTCCATGATATTGCCACTGTGAACAAGGAAGAGGACAGAATCATTTTTAAAAATAAAAATGCTGTGAGATTGCTTGTGTTAAAGTTGTAACTTCTTTTTATATTTAAAAAAAAAAAGAAAAATCCTTACATTTAATCAATAAGGGAAAAGGAGGTGAGAAACATCACAAGCACAAAGTGAAAGAAGAAAGGCAGGAAACGAAGGTCTTTAAGCTGCATAGATCTGCCTTTTAAAGTGCACACTCTGGAATTGGTGTCCCCATTAATTTGCCTTCTATCTGCAGTTACAGAGGTGAATTTAATTTAGGAAAATTTAATTAATTTAACAACCCTCCAAAAACAGGGCATTTGTACAGAACAAGCCAGCAAGGTTTAGAGATATCTGCACAAGTAGGAATTTTCTGTGAACCAAACAAAAGCAGAATGTGTTCTGAAGAAGAGTCACTGGACTCAACGTTAATTCTGCTTTCCCTCCACATATGCTGCCAGACTCGCTAAGTTTCTCCAGCATTTTCTGTTTTTTTGTTTGTTTCAGATCTCCAGCATCCACAGTTCTTTGTTTTAGTATAGAGCTCAGTTGTTTGGCCTTTATGGGACAGATTGTCAGGAATGAAGCAAGTGACTAAATGATGAATCAACTTAGAAAATTCTGAGTTGATTCAGGCATGGAGATGAGCAGGTAACAGGAATAATACCATATTCTAGAGTTAAGCATCAAGCCCATTTGTATCCCTATGCACTCTTCCCATCAACGTGTGTTTATCCCATTGTCAGTGAGCAGCTTCCACCAGTTCTATTTCCCATACAGTTGTTGTCGCCTCTAAGTGAGGCTAGCGATTATAAATAAAGTACAAGATGAATTTAAGTATTTGGGTTTAACTTAAAATGTTGCAGTCAAGTGTACATGCATTGCTTTTAATTCAAGCTTTTTGTTAACACAGATACCTAACACTAGTCGGATGATGCTGTTGAGGAGATTTGCTCGTGGAACTGGGGGCTTAGTGTTTGTTACAGCACTGTCAGGTGAGGAGCTGGCCTCAGACTACTGACCAAGCTGTAGAGACATTGGTTTTCAGGTAACATGAGATCAAATGAGCTGAAAGGCCACCTTCACTGGGATCTGTGAATCAATGGAGGATGTTCAAGTGGAGCTGAAGAGTCTGGAAGTATCAACAGAGAGCCAGCTGATGGATTTAAAATCAAGGAAATGAATGTATAATACAAGAGCTGCATCTTGGTCAGACTTGGTGGCAGAGGGGAGGAGGGGTGCGGAAGTGAGGGATACAAGAAGTCTTCATTTTGACAAAGGATGGCAAACAGCTCAAATACAGAGGAATGACTGGGCTATGAATATGGAATTGAGAAGACAATTCTTGTCAAAAGTCACTATTGAGATCAGTGATAGAACTGTTGAATTGCCTTCAATCAGCAGAGCCTTAATGTCCACTAATTTCTGAGTGGTACCCAGTATCAACCCACTATGCATTCATTGAGGGAATGCAGCTGTGTGAATGGGTGATGCCCCTAAATAGGGCATCCCAATGTCAGTTAGTACGTAATAAATTACAGCCACATGTTATTACAAAAGCAACACAGTGGTAAAGTTTCACGCAGCACTCCAGGGTGAAATGGAGAGAAACTCCACTTAGTTGGGAAATCAGAATTAGGAGATGAAGTCTGAAATTAAGAGCAAGGTCTTTCAAGAGTGGAATTACAAATTGTTTGTATATGCGAAGGGTGGTAGGCCTTTGGAACTCTTCTACAAACAGCATTTTTTTGCTAGATCAATTGTTGATTTTAAATCTACAATTAATACTTCTTTTATTAACCAAACATGTTAAGAACTATGGGGCAAAGGTTAGATATGTGGAGTTGGATTGTAGATCCGCCATGATGGAACAGTCTCAATGGGCTGAATGGCCTTTTCCTGTTACTATAGGCTAGTTAGAATTAGTGCTTTCCAGAGATAACTTTAGGAAATGAGTGGAGGTAGTTAAATTCAGGGGAGGGAATCTGCTCTTGACTGATTACATTAATATATTCGCTTCCACTGATATTTATTACAATGACTGAAGCCAAGACAGGAATGTAGCATTTCAGATTCAGAGCATTCTGCACTTAAATGCTGATAGGATCAAGAACTACAAGGAAAGTTTAATTTAGTTTACTGTTCTCTGCACCCCCAGAAAGAATCCTTACTTAAAAATGCCGACTAGCACCAGAGTAATAATTCCAAACTGTCCCCTTGTACCTGACCCGAGCTATCCTTCCCAGCGCATGAGTATGGATAACAATGTTGTGACTGCGCCTGTCCAGGGGAAGGGCGATTTTCCATCACACGCCTGATTCCAGCCTTGTACATGGTCGAGAGGCTTTAAGAGCATCAGATGGAAAATGTCATCAGAGTATCAGTCACTGACCTAGTGACAGTGTTGAAAAGATCATTCCAGTTAAACCTCTGATGTGAACTCCAACTAATTGGTGATTGTAAACTCATCAGTTTATTGTGTGGAACAATTCTAATGTGTCCAGACCTGGATGTTGTCCTGCTGTGGGCTGCTCCATTTTCACTGAGTTGTAAATGGAACTGTGCACTAGAATTATCAGCAAATGGCTTATGACTTAGAGGAAGTTGTTAGAGATATTTCGACTGAGGACCCTGTCCTAAGCAATTCTTACAGTGACGTACAGGTGATGTAACCTTTGGTTTCCCAAAAATCTTAATTCCTCTGTGCCTCAGCTGCAGAAGGGGTTTCCCTTTCAACTCCATTTCCGTCAGATTTACAACGCTATTTGTTGCCAACCATGTCTAATGGGTGGGTGTAGGGTTCTGTTAGAGGGCTAATGATCCACTTTTCCACCACAAAAGTTGAGGGAACTTAAGTTTACTTAATTAATCTGCAATAATAATTATTCTCAGTAATGGCGACCGTGAAACTATCATCAGTTTGTCATTTAAAACCCATCTGATCGCTAATGACTTTTAGGGAAGGAAAACTGCTGTCCTTACTGAATCTGACCTATGTGTGACTCAAGACCCACAACAACGTGATTGATTCTTAACTGCCCTTTGAAATGGTGTGGCAAACTAACTAGTTTTCAAGGTGGTGACTCACCTCTGCATCGTTAAGGGATGGGCAATAAATGCTGCTTTTCTAACTGTTACTGCCTTGTTAAATTGCTTCTGAAAAATAGTACTGAGCAGAGAAATGCTGAATATGTAGCCATCTTGTCTATTGAAGCCATACAACAGGACTCAATTTTGTGGTAGCTTCAATAATTGTGTTTTCCCTTCGATCTTTGCACAGGTGCTTTTGTTGCTGGGCTGGATGCTGGGCTTGTCTATAATTCTTTCCCCAAGATGGGAGAGCGTTGGTTGCCTGATGACCTCTTGGCCTTTTCCCCAGCTCTCCGAAACTTCTTTGAGAATCCAACTACCGTTCAGTTTGACCACAGAATCTTGGTAACTATTTTTAAAGTGAATGTAATCTTGATCATAAATTCTTCTATTACTGATTAACTCCTATGCACTTCAATTCTGGAATTAGGATGTGGCAAATTAGGCTGTAGCAGGACAGCATGAACTAATGCCTTCTAGAATTTTTTAAAATCTCAAAACCTGTACATGGGTTGTCTTTTTTTTCCCCGACTCTGAGCTGAGTTAGTTGCTTCTGCCTAGACTGACTGGTGGAGGCGCTACAGTTGTCTTCAGTGGTGAGCTGGAGAGAGGTGTGATGAGGTAGGGATTTGCTTCTGATCCTTGTTCAGCCAATAGCCCCTTGTGGGCAAGATTGGCTTGATTAATGCATTGCAGTGGTTTAAACCAAGCAGAGGTTTCTTAAAACAAGATAAAATTGAAATAACTCCACAAAGGCCAGTATTCCATTACCAAGTCATCCTTTATTTACAAGCGCACAGTACAAGACACTGACCCAGCTAGCTTAGAGCCAGTTCCTAGAGTGAACAGAACCTCTGACACTCCTGTTTATATCTCTCAACCAGGACTCCATGTTTGGACCAGATTAACGGCCCCAAACAGGGAGCTCCTGTTTTGAGGTCCTGCTGGCTGACCTTGTTCCAGTCACTACAAAAGTAATGACTTGCATGTTCTTGTTAGTGCAAAAATATCCCCTACTGCTTCTATTCTCTGATTTGAATACACTTATGAACAGATTCAAGAACAGCTTCTTCCCCGCAGTTATCAGGCTTTTAAACAGACCTCTCATATTAATTCTGATCTCTCTCTCTGCACCTTCTCTGCGACTGTAACACTATATTCTGCACTCCGTTCTGCTATCCTGATGCATTTTCTATGGTATGATCTGCTGTATGGCACGCAAAACAACACTTTTCACTGTGTCACTGGGCATATGACAACAGTAAATCAAACTGAAGCTCTGTAATGTGACTTGTAATATACACAAGGTGGGTAGAGACAATGGGAATCTCAGTTCCATAATCTAAAAATCAGATAATTATGTATTCCAGAAAGAATATTCAAAGTTGTTGCAGCATACTTTTAAAAACACCAACAAAAATAAGGAGATAACAAGGTGTAGAGCTGGATGAACACAGTAGGCCAAGCAGCATCAGAGGACCCTTCTGAAGAAGAGTCTAGACCCGAAACGTCAGCTTTCCTGCTCCTCTGATGCTGCTTGACCTGCTGTGTTCATCCAGCTCTACACCTTGTTATCTCAGATTCTCCAGCATCTGCAGTTCCTACTATCTCTGAAACAAAATAAGGACTCTGCAACTGGCACAAGGAAATGAATGAGGGCAGGTGAACGTTTTGTAGTACTGAGTAACTTTTGGACCCTGTGCATTTGCTGAATGCTGCAGATTTTTAAGTAGAGCTTGCACCATAGACCTCAACTATTGAGCTCCTTCCCATTTTCTCAAAGCTCTTCCTGATGAGTGGAGATTGAGCCAGTGAATTTTGACACCTTGCACAAAATGTGTTTTGGTTTAATGTTCAAGCTGACTTCCACGTGTACTTTCCAGCAGAATAACAAGGGACAGAAGGCCGTCTTGACTTTTTTTTTCCCTTGTCCAATAGGCTGTCACCTAAAATATTATACCATCTTTCCCATTCGATCACTCAGTCCTGCTGTGTGAATGTTTGTATTTCAGGTTTCCAGTCTGGCTCTGAAATGATTTACTGTGGATTATTTGTTTCAATGTGCCACAGCTACAGAGACATAGTTCTTCCACTAGTGTTTCTGTATCTTTTCTGATTGTATTTATTGTTGTGCCTTGTCAGGGTATCGCCTCAGTGACAGCAGTGACCATTCTCTACACGCTTTCCCGCAGGATAGCTATGCCACGGAGGACAAAAGTGGCAATATCATCTTTATTGGCAATGGTTTACATGCAGGTAATGGGGGCAGTAATAATCTTCAGTATTAACTATTTAAAAATTAATACTCTGGATGTGGGCATCACTGGCAAGGTTGGTGTTTATTGCCTTAATTGCCATCATTTGATAGAGCTGTCTCCCTGGGCCACTTTAAAGCCACATTAAAAGACTATTGTATTGATGTGAAATAACTCCCATATTGGCCGGACTGTGTCAGCACAGCAGTCTTCTTCACTAAAGGTATGGAAGGGGTTAACAAAAACCTGACATCTTCACAGCATCTGAAGACCCATTGATTGTCAACAGGTATTGTTAGGAGCAAATTCAAAGTTTAAGTGCCCATGATGTAATCTGAATTGGTGATCTCTGGATTATTGGTACCAGCAACATAACCACTGCCGAACTGTGACTCATAGCTGGACTGAAGAGCAAGTGTTGTGGCAGGTCCCCGTATTGTAGCACATGGTGCTTCAAGAAGATCCCCACATAGTGATAATGTCCTAGCTGCTGTGGAATGGAGCTGTTAGGATCACGCGTTCCAGCCCTGAGCTTCAACTGGTCCCAGCATCTGAATTCAAAGAGGGTTTAGCAAGAATTTCCACTCATTATTCCGTAAACCACAGCATGGACTTTTAACTGGTGTGTGTCTATAACACCTTTGTAGCAGAACTAATCAGGTATTAAAGAAAGGGGATGAAAATCAGAGGGATCTGTAACTTTGTGTGTGTGGTGACGTTACGTACTGAAATAATTTTGCACTGATGTGGGAATGTTGTTCTCATTTCACTTCCAGTATTGGCTTATTAAAACAGACAGAAAAACCACAACTGATTGACCTCATTTTCCATGTCACTTAGCTTTTCACTCCATGACACCATTGCAAGTCTAGTCCTGCCGAGCAGAAATGCTGGCAATGTTAAATACTGCGGGACCTGACCAATGCCACAACTCAACTTGGTGCCAATTTCTGAAGCAAGGAACTGAAAGGATGAAGTTGAAAAATGATGCACCAAGTTAACTCCAGATTATGTTTGAAAGCTCTCAGGCCAGTAGCATTTAATCAGCCACGTTGAACAAAGTTGGCAGAACATTGTTGCATGTTTCCAAAAACAGAACAGTAAACTGGAACAGGTAATTTTCGTTGAAATACTTTGCTCACCCTACCAATAACTAATGTGATCTTGTCCTGTTTTAGGCTGCTCTGGGAATCACTACCCTGCTCCTGTATGTCCCAACTCCTCTGGCTGTTACACACCAGTCAGGATCCCTGGTGCTGCTCAGCCTGGCACTCTGGTTGATTCATGAGCTGCGCAGGATTCCAAAGTGAAGAAAGAAGCGAGCTGAGCCTGGTCCCTACCAGCACACCAGATCCGATTAGAAATTCCTACAGCAATGTTCATGCACTTTGTTCTACAAAGTTTATTTTCAATGCCAATGATGGTTTGAATTGTTTATTTTATACTCAAATATTGAGGAATGGGTCTGGTATTTGTCTGAGATTTTCATGTACACAGTGTTGGTTTGATTGAGAGGCTGGTCATTATTTTCCCTGGTGGATATTAACAGTGTAATTATTTCAAGTCTCATCCCTGACAGTTATTCCCTTTACTTTTAAATCCTTTCTGTAATGAAATACCCAAACTGTATGAAGTACTCCAGCTACATACTTAAATATGGTCCATCTTCCTGGGTTTTGTATTCTGTGCTTCAAGGGTGAACCTGGTTGGTGGGGTGTGGAGGAGAGAGAAGATATTATTGCTGTTGTCTCTTTATTGTCAAACCGTTAACCAACACACTTGTGTGAACTACTCAGTTGACCAGAAATAATATGGATGTGTGTTGCTGAACTAATTAATTTTAACCTAGGTAATGTTAGTTACTATTGATTGGGCATAAGCTTTAATTATTTGTACTGTATCAGTACACAATGACGAGCCTTACCTATTTAAATATCAATGCTTTCAATCCAACCCAAACTGCTTCATCAGCCCTCACTGCTGGTGACCTGTTCCCACCAGTAAAACACCCAGATATTATGCAACCCATCTGCAGACAAAATGTAACTTAATTACTATGCACAGTTTTAGAAATGTCATACACCACATTTTACAGAAATCCAAGTCATCTGAGGGTTAATCAACCAGAAATCAATCACTCCAGTGCTGTTTGCAGATGTTTCTTGTATATTATGAATAACCTAACATTTCAAAATCAATATTTCTTTCTGAATTAAAATTTTCTGTCCTGTATGTTCTTTGCTGTGGACTTTTTCTAGGCTGTTTGTTTTGGTTTTCTGCTGTCAGCAACAGTTCCTCAGTATTTCCAAAAGTAAGATGCTACAACTGTTGGTGATCTAAATTCTTGAAAGTGTTGGAAATACTCAGCAGGTTGGTGACATCTGATGATGTGGGAGAAGAATCAGAGCTCTCCATATTCAATCTGTCTTAACCCTGTACCATCTTTAAGACCTTTAAAATATTGACTAATTAGCAATAGGCACCATTGCTTTGTGTGGGAAAGGCCGTGTCTCAGACTTGATTGAGGTTTTTAAACAAGTGACAGATGATTGATGAAGGGAGGGGGTTAGATGTTGTCCATTTGGACTTTAGCAAGGCTTTTGACAAGGACCCTCATGGCTGGCTGATACAAAGTTGAAGTCACATGGGCTCTGCGGTGACCTGGTAAAATGTAGAGCGAACTGACTTATTCATAGAAGACAAACAGTAGTGGTGGAAGGATGCCTTTCAGATTGGAGATCTGTGATCAATGGGTCTCCTACAGGGATCAATGCTGGGACTCCTGTTTGTAATATATATAAATGATTTGGAGGAGAATGTAGGTGGTCTGACTAGTGAGTTTGCAGACTACAACAAGATTGGTGGATCTGTTGATAGTGAGGAGGATTGCCAGAGGAATCAGGATATAGATAGGCTGGTTGCTTGGACGGTGAAATGGCAGATGGAGTTTACTCTAGACAAATGCAAGGTGATGTATTTCGGGAGATCTAATGCAGGAAGGAAGTATACAGTAAATAGCAAAACCCTTAGCATCAACGTAGAGAGGGATCTAGGCACAGAGGTCCACAGTTGCTTGAAAGTGGCAACACAAGTGATAAGGTAGTCATGAAGGGTGTTTGGCAGACTTGTCTTCATCAGATTTTGGGGCATAGAGTATTCAAAATTGATAAAATCATGTTGCAGCTGTATAGAACTTTAGTTAGGCCACATTTAGAACATTATGTACAGTCCTGGTCACCACATGACCAAAGGATGTGGAGCTTTGGAGAGGGCTGCCTGATTTCGAGGGTATAAGCTAAGAGGAGAGATTGGACAAACTTGGTTTGTTTTCACTTGAACATTGAAAGATGAAGGGTGACCTGATAGAAGTTTGCAAAATTGAGAGGCAGGGATAGTCGATGTCTTTTTCCCAGGGTAGAAATGTCAATTACTAGGGAACAAAGGTTTAAGGTAAAAGGCAGTAAGTGTAAAGGAGATGAGAGGTACGTTTTTTTTTACGCAGAGGATAGTAAGGAATGCACAGTCAGAGATGGTGGTGGAGGCAGATACAATAGCAATGTTTAAGAGGCATGTTAACATATATGAATAGGCAGGGTATAGGGTAATATGGACAGCATAGAAGCAGAAGGTTTTTAGTTTAGAAAGACGATGTATCAGCACAGGCTTGACAGGTCAAAAGGCCTGTTCCTGCACTGTATTGATATTTTAGTCATCTCCCTTCCCCTTAACCTTCTCAAATTCAGTGAGAAAGGAACCAAAACGTCTACTATTTTTTCCAGAACTGAGAGCTGTCAGCACTGATAATATTCAACGGTAGCTTTTTCCTTTATGGAGGTCTCCTATTTAAGAACATCCAAATTAACATTCTTACTTATGAATACGATCTGACAAGGGTGTAATTTTAAAGATCCAACAATTAAAATTTCCTGGATTTAAGAATGGCTATTTTACATTGTCCTGCATTATGTTCCGACTTGCATACGAATCAACTTGCAAATGTACTCCAGATCAGAACCTGCTTGCAATCCAGGGACTGCTTATATTTTCAAATCCTTTCGGTAATGAAAGTACCCAAAACAGTATGAAATATTTCAGCTTCGCTCCTAAATACATCTCCCTACTTTTGCATTCTGTCCTTCCAGGTTCAAAGTCAAGGACTCTGGTCGATTTATCCACTGCCATGTTAAACAATGTGTGTTTGTGCATTAAGGTCACAGTTTAATAAATTAATAGCTTACAGAAGGTGATTTATATTATATCCAGTGTTATTAATTTATTATTTCATGAATTATTTTTGCACAAGTAGTTGCTTTGCTTTTCAGATTCTCTGTTAAACATTGAACCAGATTTGTATCGTGTGCCATACCCAAGAGCTCTGATTCAGCTGCTGCCATTTTTCCGACAACACACCTTTCAGAGTTAAGTTTTAGCTGAAATATCAAAAGGGATCTTGTTTTCCTCCGTTCGCAAAGGGTACCATTATGTTAGAAATAGGAACAGATCACTTACTACTTCAAGCCTGCTGTGTTTTTCCTTTAATTCCTTTGGGAGTCAAAATACCTATTTAATCTCACTTTTGAATACGTTTGGTGACCAAGCGCCAACAGCTCTCGGGGATAGAGGCTCCTGAAGATTCACCGTCTTTTGAGTGACAAAGTTTATTCCCATCCACTTTAAATGGGTGGCCCCGATTCTGAGATGCTCCAAGGGTAACATTTCACTGTCAGACTGTTTGACAATTTTATATGTTTCAATGAGATCACTACAAACGCCAGGAAAAATGGGCACGTTATACTCAATCTCCCCTCCTGGCATCATACATTTCTCCTGAGAATCTATTGAACCCTCTTCCATATCCTGATGAGAAGCGGGAGAGGACCAAGGAGAGACTCTGGAGGAGCTGCAGTCATCTAAGATTCACTGGGCTAGATCCTGGCATTGTCCAATGATGAGAAATTAAGTCGACCGGCCTCTGGATTAATAGAATGAAACATGAATTTCTTAAGAAGCTTGACAGGGTAAATGCTGAAAATTTGTGGGACCAGTCTCAGAATAAAGGGCTGGCCATTTAGGTTGGAGATAAGCCATTTCTTCCTTGTGAATGGTTGTAATTCTCCACCTTCAGAGTGGAATGGATACTGCATTGTCAAATGTATTTAGACAGAGGTGGATAGATTCTGGGGGGAATCTAAGGGATATGGGGTGGTGGTGTGGGTTTCCTCCCACAATCCAAAGATGTGCAGGCTACGTGGGTTGGCCGTGCTAAATTTCCCATAGTGTTCAGGGATGTATAGATTAGGTGGGTTATAGGCGATGGGTCTGTGTGGGATGCTCTGAGGTTTGGTGTGGACTTGTTGGGGCGAAGGGCCTGTTTCCACACTGTAGAGATTCTGTGATCAAAAGCACATAATAGTCACGACCTGATTGAATGGTGCAGCAGGCCCAAGGGGCTGAATGGCCTACTCTTGCTCCTCAATCACGATGATGGCAGGGGCCTGGGGTTGGCGAGATCTATGACACCAGGAGATACCGGTAAACAAAAAAAAAGCCAACTGGCAACTCTTGAATAAATATTTGCTTGCATCATTGTAAATAATTAACTGAAGGCAACATGGGTCATGGGGTACAGTGCTGGGAAAGCCAGGCTGTATCAGGTGTAGTACAGGCTGACCTTCTCATATGCCCCTGTTAAATTATTGATGGTGAGATGCTAAAATACAAGCAACCAAGGCAGCTGGATCACCGAGCCTGGAATGGAACGCTGATCCTGTGTGACCACGAAAGCCTTTCATTCGTCATTTCAAAGGAGCAGTTTAAGAATTTCATCTTCTCATGTTGCAGTTCGTTTAACTCCCCAGCTGGGAGGGACTGACACAGGAACAAGTTGGAGCTGCTTCTAGTGAGGGATATTCAGACGCCCAACTACACAGACCAATGACGGGAAGTTGATACGGTAAGAACCAGGAGGCTAAACAACTGGGTGAATGTGGTCATCAGGGTCATCTCAGGCAAAGGCAGCAATATTTCCAACTCCGTTTTCTACTCTCTGGGCTTCTGAAAGCTGGTGACGGAGGTTAAGTAGGGAGCCTTTCAAATCTTCAAAAAAAATTTCATCTGAACCTATCTCCCCTCTGAACTGACCTCATGACTGAGCCGAGATAGTTCTGCACAGAACGTGCACTTCTCGGTGTTTGACTGAAGTGGCTTGATTTTAAGTCCACCTCCGTCACAATTAATGCAGTCAGAATCTCTCAGACTGAACAAATTTCTGTGGCTGACACCACCAAATTCTGTAACAGAAAGAAAGCTGCTAGCCTTTGGGCAGGTCCATCCCCAATAGATTTTTGTAACATCGAAATTTCTGACTCGCTGTCTTGCTTTGGAAACTATTGTGAACCTTGTACATTTTTGATATTTTACTGGCATTAGTATCTGAATGTCTTGCTCAAGATAATCAGCTGTCACTTGACAACTGACTGCTTTCGACTTTACAGAGATTGATGGTATTTTTCTCTCAGCCTGTATTTATTAACTGTGACAGACAACTGAACCAAATCAGCCTTTCTACATCTGTATTTGCAACGCAGTAAAACTAAACCATTGAAGCCCTTTGCTCCCCCCAAATACATACTCGACTGGTTCCTAACCAGACCTTTCAGTAGCCATGCCCATTTTGCAAATAATTACCTTCCAAGGGAAGGGTTTTGTATCTTAAACAAAAGACTTAACTATTTATTACTCGGTAACTTCAACAGAAAGAAAACCAAGAAAACACAGTAATCTGATTAATGTCTGTAAACAGGAAATATTTGATTTCAGTGCCCATTCACACAAAAGACAGACAAAGACACACGGTGAAGGATAAACAAAATAACGAAACTGGCCAGATTACTTCAGTGGCCTTCACAATGCGTTGTTTCACAAGTATAAATGTGGGCTCCTTGGCTGTTTATTCTGAAATGTTGATCAGGGTCATCTCAGTTGATCCAGGCAAAGGCAGCAATATTTCTAACTCAGTTTTCTACCCTCTGGGCTTTTGAAAGCTGGTGCACGAGGTTAGGTAGGGAGCCTTTCAAATCTTCAAAAAAAAAGTTCGTCTGAACCTATGTCCATCTGAACTGACTGCTCTCCATGATCTCGGATCCAACCCAGACTTTGTAATTAAGCGATTTGTAATTGTCGATAAGGGTGGTGCTGTTGTAGTCTGGCGTACTGATCTCTACCTTGCAGAGGCTGAACGCCAGCTCTCAGATACCTCCTCCTACCTTCCCCTGGACCATGAGCCCAAAATAGAACACCAGTTGTGTCCACAACTGTCACTAATCTCATTTCATCTGGGGACCTCCCCCCGACACCACCCCTCGCCCCAACCTGCCCCACTATCTCCAATTTCATAAACCCCCAAACTTGCACAGCTCACTTCTACCTCCTTCCCAAAATCCACAAACAGGACTCCCCGGCCAGATTCCTTGTTTGTACCTGTACCTGCCCCTGCCCCACAGAACTCATCTCTTCCTACCTTGACTCAATTAAGTTCTCCCCTTGTACTGTCCCTTCCTACTTAGATTTGCAATTCTTCTGACACTTTTACTTCAATTTCAAAATTTCTAGTTTGCAAGTTTCCAGACAACTCCTCTTTACCATGGACATCCAATCACTTTACATGTCGTTCCCGCATCAGGATAGTCTCGGGGCTCTCTACTTCTTCCTGAAAAAAACGCTTAAACCACTCCTCTGCCTGGCCAAGCTTGTACTCACTTTAAACAATTTCTCCTTTAACTCCTGTCACTTTCTTCAGGCCAGAGATGTGGCCATGGGTACCCACATGGTCCCCACTTATACTTGTCTCTTTGTGGGGCACATGGAACATTCCTTGTTCCAGTCCTACTCCAGCCCCCAAACACAATCCTTTCTCCAGTAGATCAACGATATCATCGATGCTGCTTCCCTCTCTTGTCTGGAATTGGAAAAGTTTATCGATTTTGCTTCCAATTTCCACCCTGCTGTTAACTTCAACTGATCAATCTCTGAGTCCTCTCTTCCCTACCTCGACATCTCTGTTTCCATTGCTGGGGACAGGCTGGCCACCAATATCCACTACAAACTACAAGCCTGGATTGGAATGGGAACCTAGCATGGAAAACAGTGGAGCAGCAATGGCAGGAGTTTCTGGGGGTAATTCAGGAGGCACAGCAGAAATTCCTCCCCAGGAAGAAGAAACATACTAAGGGGAAGATGAGGCAACCATGGCTGACAAGGGAAGTCAGGGACACCATAGAAGCAAAAGGAAAAGCATACCATGTGGTGAAGATTAGTGGGAACCCTTTAAGAAAACAGCAGAGGATAGCTATAAAGGCAATGGGGGGAGAAGATGAAATATGAGAGGGAGCTAGCTAGTAATGTAAAAGAAAATTGTGAGAGATTTTTTAGATATCTGAAAGGTAAGAGATAGGCTGTAGTGATTGGAACGAGGTCAGTCAGGTGGACCTCGTAGAATATGAGTTCCCTGATTGGGGCTACTAATCTGGTCCAATCAGGAAGCCCTGGCTGACAGACATAAACAGGAATGTCAGACTTCCTGTTCACCCTGAAAGCTGGCTCTGAGGGAGCTGGATCAGTGTCGAGGAATCTCCGTGTATAAACAAAGGATGACTTGGTGATGGGATACCAGCCTCTCTGGAATTATTTCAGAGGCAAGAGTGGACGTTAGACTGCTGTAAAATGAGGCTGGAGAAGTAGTAATGGGAAACAAAGAAATGGCAGAGGAACTGATTAGGTACTTTGCATCAGTTTTCACAATGGAAGACGCCAGCAGCATACCAGAACTTCAAGATGGACTACACCCCAGAGTTCTGTAGGAGATAGCTGAGGGAGATTGTAGAGACATCGGTGGTGATCTTTCAGGAATCACTGGAGTTAGGGAGGGTCCCAGAGGACTGCAAAATGACTAAAGTAACATCCCTGTTTAAGAAGGGACGGGGATAGAAGATGGGAATTTTTTTTTCCATTCATTTGTAGGATGTGGGCATTGTTGGCTGGGCCAGCATTTCTTGCCCATCCCTAGTTGCCCTTGAGAAGGTGGTGCTGAGCTGCCTTTTTGAAACGCTGCAGTCCTCCTGCTGTGGGTTGACCCACAATGCCATTAGGAAGGGAATTCCAGGATTTTGACCCAGCAACAGTGAAGGAATGGCGATATATTCCCAAGCCAGGATGATGAGTGATTTGGAGGGGAACTTGGAGGTGGTGGTGTTCCCATATGTCTGCTGCTCTTGTCCTTCTATTTGGAAGTGGTCGTGGGTTTGGAAGGTGCTGCCTGAGGATATTTGGTGAATTTCTTCAGTGCATTATGTAGATAGTACACACTGCTGCCACTGAGCATCAGTGGTGGAGGGAGCGGATGCTTGTGGATGTAGTGCCAATGAAGCGGGCTGCTTTGTCCTGGATGGTGTCGAGCTTCTTGAGTGTCGTTGGGGCTGCACTCATCTAGGCAAGCGGGGAGTATTCCATCACACTCCTGACTTGTGCCTTGTAGATGGTGGACAGGCTTTTGGGAGTCAGGAGGTGAGTTACTCGCCACAGTATTCCTAGCTTCTGACCTGGTCCTGTAGCTACTGTGTTTATGTGGTGAGTCCAGTTGAGTTTGTGGTCAATGATAACCCCCAGGATTCAGTGACGATAACACCATCTAATGTCAAGGGGTGGTGGTTAGACTGTCTCTTATTGGTGATGGCCAATTTAGCATTTGTGTGGTGCAAATGTCACTTGCCACTTGTCAGCCCAAGCCTGGATATTGTCCAGTTGCTGTTGTATTTGAATATGGACTGCTTCAGTATCTGAGGAGTCACGAATGGTGCTGAGCATTGTGCAATCATCAGTGAACATCCCCACTTCTGATCTTATGATAAAGGGAAAGTCATTAGTGAAGCAGCTGAAGATGGTTGGGCCGAGGACACTATCCTGAGGAACTCCTGCAGAGATATCCTGGAGCTGAGATGATTGACCTCCCACAACCACAACCATCTTCCTATGTGTCATGTGTGACTCCAACCACTGGAGCGTTTGCTCCCTGATACCCATCGATTCCAGTTTTGCTAGGGCTCCTTGATGCTATACTCAGTTGAATGCAGTCTTGATGTCAATGGCTGTCACTCTCACCTCACCTCTGGAATTCATCTCTTTTTTTGTCCATGTTTGAACGAAGGCTGTAATGAGGTCAGGAGCTGAGTGGCCCTGGCGGAACCCAAACTGGGCATCACTGAGCAGGTTATTGCTGAGCAGGTGCTGTTCGATAGCACTGTTGATGACACCTTCCATCACTTTATTGATGATCGAGAGGAGACTGATGGGGCAGTAATTGGCCGGGTTGGATTTGTCCTGCTTTTTTTGTGTACAGGACGTACATGGGCAATTTTCCACATTGTTGCGTAGGTACCAGTGTTGTAACTGTACTGGAACAGCTTGGCTAGGGGAGCAGCAAGTTCTGGAGCACAAGTCTTCAATTCTATTTCCAGAATGTTGTCAGGGCCGTAGCCTTTGCAGTATCCAGTGTCTCCAACCGTTACTTGATATCATGTGGAGTGAATCGAATTGGCTGAAGACTGGTATCTGTAATGCTGGGGACCACTGGAGGAGGCCGAGATGGATCATCCACTCAGCGCTTCTGCCTGAAGATTGCTGCGAATGCTTCAGCCTTATCTTTTGCACTGATGTGCTGGGCTCTTCCATCATTGAGGATGGGGATATTTGTGGAGCCTCCTCCTCCAGTGAGTTGTTTAATTGTTCACCACCATTCACGACTGGATGTGGCAGGACTGCAGACCTTAGAACTGATCCATTGGTTGTGGCTCTGTCTATCACTTGCTGCTTTCGCTGTTTGCCGTGCAAGTAGTCCTGTTTGGTAGCTTCACCAGATTGATACCTCATCTTCATGTATGCCTGGTGCTGCTCCTGGCA